CTTTATCCAGTCTAACGATGATGGACATTTGGATTGGTTCCTTTTTAAAGTAGAAGTTTCCATTGGCACTTTGGAGAGTCAAAGAAAAAAAGAATTTAAGTGTAGGGCCGGGTGCAGTGCCTCAGACCTGTAATCCTTCCACTTTGGGAGGCCGAGGCTGACGGATCGCCATGGGGTCAGGATATGGAGACCATCCTGGCTAACATGGTGAAACCCCATCTCTACTAAAAATACAAAAAAAAAAGAAAAGAAAAGAAAAGAAAAATTAGCTGGGTGTGGTGGCACATGCCTGTAGTCCCAGCTAATCAGGAGGCACCTGGGCAACAGAGCAAGACTGTGTCTGGGGTGAAAAAAAAAAAAAAAGTTATTAACTATTGCTTCAATTAATTTTAAAAAAAGGTCTAGTAAGATAGTCAATTTGTCCTTATGTAAGTTTTTGTAGTTTATATATTTCAAGAAATTGTACCATTTTATCTGTATTCAAATTTGTGGACATACAGTTATAGTATTGTTTTCTTATTTTAATTTTCATGAAGTGTAATGACTCCTTTTTCATTTCTGACACTAATGATTTGTGACTCATATTTTTTTCTTAGTTTGTATGGCTAGATTTTTATTAAGTTTATTCAATATTTTTAAGAAGCAGCTTTTGAATTTTTAAAATTTTCTCTGTTGTTTTTCTGTTTTCAAGTTTATTTTTCTATAATCTTTATTTGCTTTCATCTAAAATTGCTTTTTTTTCTAGTTTCCTAGGGTGCACACCTACATGATTCATTCTATATTTCTTCTTTTCTGTTTATGCATGAAATGCTATAAATTGCCTCTAAGCACTGTTTTTACTGCATCCCACAAGTTTTCATAAGTTGAATTTTTATTTACATAGGTTCAAAGTAATTTTTTTTCTTTTTTTTTTTTTTGAGATGAAGTCTCGGCCTGTTGCTGGGTTCGAGTGCAGTGGCGCCATCTTTGCTCACTGTAACCTCTGCCTTCCAGGTTCAAGCAATTGTCCTGTCTCAGCCTCCCGAGTAACTGGGATTGCAGGTGTGCACCACCATGCCTCATTAATTTCTTTGTATTTTTAGTAGAGATGGGGTTTTACCATATTGGTCTTGAACTCCTGACCTTGTGATCCACCCCCTACGGCCTCCCAAAATGCTGGGATTACAGGTATGAACCACCATGCCTGGCCGGTTCAAAATAATTCTAACGTTCTCTTGGAAATTCCTTTCAATCCATGATTTTAGGAGTGTGTTATTTAATCTTCATGTATTTGGGAATTTTTTAGCTGTTATTGATTCCTACTTTAATTATACTGTGGTTTGAAAACATAGTTTGTATAATTTCTATTCTTTTAATTCTACCAGTTGTGTACAGTTGCCTAGTATATTCTGTATTGGTAAATGTTTTATCTGACCTTGAGAATATTGAAATTATATTCAGTACCCTGAAATGTGTATTCTTTCCTTGTTGAAATATTTTATAAATGTCAGTTAGATTGGTTGGTTAATAGTGTATTAACTATTGCGACAAAATTTAAGTTTCCAGCTACATCAGTCATTTCATCTATTTCAACTTGCAGTTCTATCATTTTTGCCTCATCTAGTTTCCTTGGTCTGAAGTACACTTTGTCTGAAATTAATATAGCTACTTCAGTATTTTTTGATTAGTGTTAGCATGGTGTATGCTTTTCTCTCTCCACATTTAATCTGAGTCTTTATACTTAAAGCAGAATTTTTATAAGCAACGTACATTTTTGTCTTATTTTTAAGCCACTCTGACAATCTGTGTCTTTTACTATTACATTTAAATTGTTCTAGTTTAAAAGCATTATTGATACAGTTGAATTACTTCTTACCATATTAAAATTTTTTTAAATACTTTTTAAATTATGGCAAAATACTCATAAAATTGATCATCTTAACCATTTTTAATTATACAGTTCAGTAGAGCTATTTATATTCGCATAGTTTGGTAACCAATCTCCAGAACTTTTTCATATCACAAAACTGAAATATATGCTTTTTACACACTAGCTTCCCATGACTCCTTTTTCTCAGCCCCTGGTGACTACCATTCTACTTTTGTCTCTATGATATTGACTACTCTAGATGTTTTATGTCAGTGAATCATATAGAATTTTTCTTTTGTAATTGACTTGTTTCACTTAATATAGTGTCCTCAAGTTCGTCTATGTTTTAGCATGTATCACAACTTTATTTCTTTTAAGGTAAATAGTATTACATTGCATGTATATACAACTTTTCCTTCCACCTCTTGGCTATGGTGAATATGCTGTTATGAGCATGGTTGTACAAATGTCACTTTGAGACTGCTTGCAAATCATGTAGATACAAATTCAGAAGAGGGCTGCTGAAACAGAAGGTAATCTATTTTTAATTTTTAGGAAAACTTACAAACTGTTTCACCATTTTACATTCTCACCAACAATGTACATGGATTCCAATATCTCCACATCCTGGCCAGCAACTTGCAGTTCTCTTTTTTTTCAATAGTAGCCATTCTAATGGATATAAGATGGTAGCTCATTGTGGTTTTGGTTTGCATTGCTTATGTTTTTATTTGCATTTTCCCAGTGATAAGTGGTGTTGAACATCTCTTAATATGTTTGCTGAACATTTGTATATCTTCCTTGGAGAAATGTCTATTCAAAGCTCTGTTCCCATTTTTGAATTGGTTGTAAATAAACACGTAATTGAAAATAAAAGATTAAAAAAAGGTTAAAGTTAAATAATTTAACAAAATTACAATAATATCAAATCTTTTTAAAATAATGTAAATCAAGGTCTTAGAATAAGGTGCACTAAATACACAAAACTAGGAGAAAAATAAATTTTGTTTAAAGAAACATATGAAAGCTATAAAAATAGGTAATTAGGACATTAGAAATTTTATGCCTATCTAGTTTGAACAAAAACAAAAATATATGAAATACAAAAAAAAAAGATAAAATGGTGGAACAAGAAATAAAATTTTAAAAGATTTAATAAGATAAAAATGTAAAGTAAAAATATTTTAATAAATATTATCAGCTAAGAATTTTACTGAAAATATAAGGGGTAGAAAATGATAATCATAGGCATCTATTCAAAATCTAAAAGTGTCTTAACTAAGAGGCAAAAACAGAACTTGATAATCCATGCTTTTTGTTCTCAATGGGTTGAAATTTAGTACAACAAAGTCCTAAAAAGTGAATTCACTAGTAATGAGCCAGGAAAGAAATCTGAAAAGAACTGCCATTGAAAATCTTCCTGTACCTGCTTAACCAGAGTATTCCTACACTCTCAGGCTTCCAATAAAATATAATATTTTATAAGTGTATGAAGTATTTGATTATCATACATTCCAGACAATCTGTTCATGAATCAATGCAGAGTTCATATATTTAATAGTTGTAGATTTTCATTTCTGTTCAAATTTAATGTTTGTCTTAACAAAGAAATAGAAAATAAAAAATTTATAAACATAAAAATATTTGTAACAGCCGAGAAAATATGTTCATGTAAAATGGAGACAATATGCTGCTTTTAAGGAATAGCATTAACATCAACAAAAAGGAGGTCCACTCAGAATTCATCCAAAGGTCACCATATCAAAGACCAAAGGTAAATAAATCCATGAAGATAGGGAGAAATCAGTGCAAAAAGGCTGGAAATTCCAAAAACCAGAATGCCTCTTCTCCTCCAAAGAATTGCAGCTCCTCATCAGCAAGGGAGCAAAACTGGATGGAGAATGAGTTTGATGAGTTGACAGAAGTAGTCTTCAGAACGTGGGTAATAACAAACTCCTCTGAGTTAAAAGGACCATGTTAGACCAGGCGCGGTGGCTCAAGCCTGTAATCCCAGCACTTTGGGAGGCCGTGGCGGGTGGATCACAAGGTCAAGGGATCGAGACCATCCTGGTCAACACGGTGAAACCCCGTCTCTACTAAAAATACAAAAAATTAGCTGGGCATGGTGGTGCGTGCCTGTAATCCCAGCTACTCAGGAGGCTGAGGCAGGAGAATTGCCTGAACCCAGTAGGCAGAGGTTGTGGTGAGCCGAGATCGTCCCATTGCACTCCAGCCTGGGTAACAAGAGTGAAACTCCGTCCCAAAAAAAAAGAAAAAAAAAAGGACCATGTTCTTGTCCAATGCAAGGAAGCTAAGAACCTTGAAAAACAGACTTATTGCTAACAAGAATAACCAGTTTAGAGAAGAACATAAATGACCTGATGGAGTTGGAAACACAGCGCAAGAACTTCATTAAGCATATACAAATATCAATAGCCAAATCAATGAAGCTCAGAAGAGGATTCCTGAATCAGAAGGTAATGCTATTTTTAACTTTTAGAGGAACTACCAAACTGTTTCACCATTTTACATTCCCACTAGCAATGTACATGGATTTCAGTATCTCCACAGCCTGCCCAGCAGTTGCTGTCCTTTTTTAAATAGTAGTCATGCTAATGGGTACAATGAGATGGTGTCTCATTGTGGTTTTGATTTGCATCGCTTTTGTTTTTTATTTGCATTTTGCCAATGATTAGTGATGTTTAACATCTTTTAATTTGTTTGCTAAACATTTATATATCTTACTTGAAGAAATGTCTATTCAAAGGATGTCAGAGACTGAAGATCAACTCAATGAAGTAAAGAGAAAAGACAAGATTAGAGAAAAAAATAGTGAAAAGAAATGACCAAAGCCTCCAGAAAATATGGAAGTATGTGAAAGACCAAATCTACGTTTGATTGGTGTTCCTGAAAATGACAGGGAGAATGGAACCAAGTTGGAAAACACTCCTCAGGATGTTATCCAGGAGAACTTCCCCACCCTAGCAATGCAAACCAACATTCGAATTCAAAAAATTTCAGAGAACACCATAAAGATATTCCTTGAGAAGAGCAACTCTAAGACACATAATCATCAGATTCATCAAGGTTGAAATGAAGGAAAAAATGTTAATGGCAGCCAAAATGAAAGGTCAGGTTACCCACAAAGGGAAGTCCGTCAGTCTAAGAGTAGATCTCTCAGTGGAAACCCTGCAAGCCAGGAAAGAATGGGAGCCAATATTCAACATTTGTAAAGAAAAGAATTTTCAACTCAGAATTTCATATCAAGCCAAACTAAGCTTCATAAGCAAAGGAGAAATACAATTATTTACAGACAAACAAATGCTGAGAGATTTTGTCACCACCAGGCCTGCCCTACAAGAGCTCCCGAAGGAAGCACTAAACGTGAAAAGGAACAACTGGTATCAGTCAATGCACAAATATATCAAACTGAAAAGGCCATCAACACTAGGAAGAAACTACCTCAACTAACGGGCAGAACAACCAGCTAGCATCATAATGATAGGATCGAATTCACACATCACAATATTAACCTTAAATGTAAATGGGCTAAAAGCCCCCCTTTTAAAGACACAGACTGGCAAATTGGATAGTCAAGACCCATCGGTGTGCTGTATACAGGAGACCTATCTCACATGCAAAGACAAACATAGGCCTAAAATAAAGGGATGGAGATATATTTTCCAAGCAAATGAAAAGCAAAAATAGCTCCTCTTGGAATACTAGTCTCTGATAAAATAGACTTTAAACCAACAAAGATCAAAAGAGACAAACAAGGGCATTACACAATGGTAAAAGGATCAATGCAACAAGAAGAGTGAAGTATTCTAAATATATATTCACCCAATACAGGAGCACCCAGATTCATAAAGCAAGTTCTTAGAGATCTACAAAGAGACTTAGACTCCCACACAATGATAATGGAAGACTTTAACACCCCACTTTCAACATTAGATCAATGAGACAGAAAATTAACAAGGATATCCGGGACTTGAACTTAACTCTGGACAAGTCAGACCTAACAGACATCTACAGAGCATTCCACTCCAAATCAACAGAATATACATTCTTCTGAGAAACACATCACACTTATTCTAGAATTATTTACATAATTAGAATTAAAACACTCCTCAGCAAATGCAATAGGATGGAAATAATAACAAACAATCTCTCAGACCACAGTGCAAGCAAATTAGAACTCAGCATTAGGAAACTCACTGAAAACCGTACAACTACGTGGAAACTGAACAACCTGCTCCTGAATGACTATGGGGTTAATAATGAAATTAAGGCAGAAATAAAGATGTTGTTTGAAACCAATGAGAATGAAGACCCAACGTACCAGAATCTCTGGGACTCATTCAAAGCAGTGTCTAGGGGGAAATTTATAGCACTAAATTCCCACAAAAGAAAGCAGGAAAGATCTGAAGTCAATACCCTGACCTCACAATTAAAAGAACCGGAGAAGCAAGAACAAACAAATTCAAGAGCTAGCAGAAGATGAGAAATAACTAAGATCAGAGCAGAACTGAAGGAGATAGAGACATGAAAAAATCCTTTAAAAAATCAGTAAATCCAGGAGCTGTTTTTGTTAGAAGATCAACAAAATAGGTTAACTGTTAGCCAGAAAAATAAAGAGAGAAGAATCAAATAGATCCAATAAAAATGATAAAGGGGATATCACCACCAATCTCACAGAAATACAAACTACCATCAGAACATAGTATAAATGCCTCTAAGCAAGTTAACTAGAAAATCCAGAAGAAATGGATAAATTCCTGGAAACATACACACTCAAGACTGAACAGGGAAGTTGAATCCCTGAATAGACAAATGACAAGTTCTGAAACTGAGGCAACAGTTAACAGCCTACCAACCAAAAAAAGTCCAGGACCAGACAGATTCACAGCTGAATTCCACTAGAGATACAAAGAGTAGCTGGCACAATTTTTTCTGAAACTATTCCAAACAATTGAAAAAGAGTGAATCAAAACCACATTTAGATATCATCTCATGCCAGTTAGAATGGTGATCATTGAAAGCTCAGTAGACAACAGATGCTGGAGAGGGTCTGGAGAAATAGGAACACTTTTACGCTGTTGGTGGGAGTGTATATTAGTTCAATCATTGTGAAAGACAGTGGTGATTCCTCAAGGATCTAAAGCTAGAAATACCATTTGACCCAGAAATCCCATTGCTGGATATATACCCAAAGGATTAGAAATCATTCTGCTATAAAGATACATGCACACGTATATTTATTGAGGCACTGTTGACAATAACAAAGACCTGGAACCAACCCAAATGCCCATCAATGATAGGCTGGATAAAGAAAATGTGGCACATATAGACCATGGAATACTATGCAGCCATAAAAATGATGAGTTCATGTCCTTTGCAGGGCCATGGATGAAGCCGGAAACCATCATTCTCAGCAAACTAACACAAGAACAGAAAACCAAACACAGCATGTTCTCACTCATGAGTGGGAGTTGAACAATGAGAACACATGGACACAAGGAGGGGATCATCACATACTGTGCCCTGTCAGTGGGTGGGGGGCTAGGGGAGGGGTAACATTAGGAGAAATCCCTAATGTAGACAACAGGTTGATGGGTGCAGCATACCACCATGGCACATGTATACCTATGTAACCTACACGTTCTGCACATGTACCTCAGAACTTAAAGTATATATAAAAAGCTGCTTTTAAGTTAAAAATATTTTCTTTAGAAAAATATTTTTATTTCACAATTGACAAATATATATTGTTAAAGTAAAACAAGGTATTTATTATTGGTGCTATGTGATTAGCACCAATCACATTTGGAAGTGGTTTGTTCCTGTGAAAATTATGATGAAATTTGACCTCCCACATAGCAGTGTTGAAAGGTGGGACCTAGTGGGAAGTGTTTGGGTCATGGGGGCAGTTCCTTTATGAATCGATTAATACCCATATATAGGGGTGAGTGAGTGCTTGCTCTTGCAAGAATGAATTAGCTCCCATGAGAGCAGGGTATTACAAATCTGGCTTCCTCAGTTTCTCTCTTTTATTTCCTCTCTTGCCATGTAATTTCTTTCCATATTCCTGCTGCTCTCTTTCCACTCTCTTTCATGAGTTGAAGCAGCTTGAGGCTTTTGCCAAATGCAGCTGCCAAATTTTGAACTTTCCAGTTGCCAGAATCGTTATCCAAATAAACCCTTTTTAAATAAATGATCCAACCTCAGGTATTCTGTTATAGCAGCGCCAAATGAACTAAGACAACTGTTTCTTTCCAGTGTATTCCACTTTGGTTCTTTTGGAACACTGGGGTCCTGTTTAGTGAACTGTTAATGCTCATGCATAAAATGCCATGATAGAAAGAGTTAATGGCACTCCAGAAGTGCTGACTTATTACCCGCGATCAGACGCTGCTTTGAAGGAATTGAGCTGAATGCGGTTGCAATTATAAACTGAATGGTTCTTAAAGGAATAAGTCCTCCATGACAAATGTGTGACAAATAACTATTCCCACAGCACATTATTAACCCACAAACTTCAGTACAGTTTTCTACTAGTTCATGTATGAGAGAATAAAGAGCCAGATTGCACCATTTACTAGTCTTTCCTTGCTGGCCTGCTGCGAATGAGGGGATGTGGGACACGACATTCGGAAACAGTTGAAGGCCTCTTATGCTTATATTGCTGTTTTATGACTTTTACTTGAATGATTTTCATGGTTATCCCCTCTGTTGTAGTAGCTGTTGAAAAGATTCCAGTTTCTATGCTTTTACTGACCAAGCAAGCTAAGAAAGAAGTCAGAATAAACCGGTGGACTCAAAGCATTTCTATTCTCAAAGCATTTGCACATTAGTACAGCAATCATTAGGTTATTTTCCATTGAACAGTTTTCTCTTCCACTTTTTCTCAATTTGACAATCATTCTGTTGCTGTAGTGAAATGCCCAGTTCCATAGATAAAGGTAGAAAATGCTTTCAGTTTTCTCTATAAAAATTGTTCTCAAATTTTTATTAGAGCAATTCCAAATACTGGAATTTGCGAGAGGGATCTGCAAGAAATCATGGCAAAGACATGTAAACGTCATTTTCTGTCCTCTTTTTCCCATTCCTTTATACTTAAACCTGAGGAATAGCAGGACTATTGCATCAATGTTACCAAGTTTGATATCACATTAAAATGTATCTCTCTCAACAAAAGCATGTTTTTTAAATAGTTGAGCAAAATTAATTATAATTATTTAGAACTTTTTATTACTTTCACACCAAAACATATTTTGATAAATTATACAAATTATATTTTTAATATATAAAACTATAATTTAAAATACTGTTTTTATTGGGGGATTTTCTATTTCCTGAACAATAAATAAAAAATAGATAAATAAGATCCTTCTAAACTCATAAAACCCCAACATGCTATTATGATATATGTGTAAATGGTCAATTGTAGAATTTTTTTCTCCTTGCATTCCACTCCCAATTAATATGTCTCTATTTTCAACAAAGACAACTGTTATCTGTGATTGCCATCTCTTATCTCATCCAAATATTTTGTATTTTGCAAGCATTTGTGATGCTTTTCTTCTTTGCTGCCTGTATACAGCTTGTTTCTTTTCACAGCATGTTATTCTCACCAGTATTCTCTTACTATTTTCTGTCTCTGTATTGTCTATCTCTTGCCTAAATAACTTAAGTCTTTTTTCTGTAGCAGTTCATATTGAAAAGAACCAAAATCATGACTGAATTTAATATATACTTTAGAAGATGCTTTTCTTTAAGCATATGTGATGTATGCATTTGTTCAACTTTAGTAGAAGCTGTCAGTTTTCAACATGGAGGTAATGTGTATGTGAAAGCGTTTCCATTGCCATACATTCTCACCAACACTTAGTATTGTAAGCTCTTTTTAAAAATTTTTATTAAAGTTTATTATCCCTTAGGAAAACTGCAAAAATCTCTTATTACCATGTATAACATTAGAATATATTAACGAGAGCATAGAAATTTGGCTCCTGATGAAAGACCTATGTGTGAACTTTCAGGCTCAATCATGGTCCATTTTAAAGCTTTACCTGGCAAGCCTCGAGGGGAAAGCTGCCCTTTCTGCAACAGACCTACTGCACAGCTGATGCATACTAGTCTCTGAAGGAAGTTGGGATCAAAGATTCAGGCCCTCAGGCCAGCCCAGCTTTCCTGTATTTGTATTCCTACCCTGGTGCCTTCATTTCTAAGCCTTTTTATCTGAGGTTCTAGACAGAGGGGATCTCTTCAGGCTCCTCCGCCAGGGCTTCCTTATGAAAAAAGAAGGATACCTTGAAGACACCTTTCCCCGCTCTGACTCAGTGAGTCAGTACGAGTGCTTTTCTACTCATAGACATTCCTCCATTACACTCACCATCCGCCCCCAACTTCATGGTCCAAAAAGACATTGGAACCTTTTGTTCCACCCTTGTTCTACTGTCAGATGACCCCAAACTCTGCACTGATCTACCTGACCACCCCCAACAGGCAGCACTTACATGGTGAGAGATGGAACATGAGGTGTTAGTGCTTTCTCCAGGTTAGACTCTTGTTTATATCATTACAGAAAGTGATTAAATGCTTAAATATTTCATTTATGGCTTTTGCTGTTTTAATTGGTTAACTCTAACACTGGGCAGCCCAGATCTTTTTCCCAGCACAGCCAACCTCCTGACAGAGTATTTTACCAAGAGGGCAAAGGATGAGTTTACATTTCAAAAGTTACATATGACTAAAATTCACTAAATATATAAATTATACTTCAGGGTCAATAAAAGTCTAAGAATATAAATAGGAATGCAAATCTATCCACCCTCTTAAGGAAAAGCATAATAAATTACCCACCATTTAGGAAGTTTAGAGCTACACTAGCAGAATTAACAAAACAAAGCCTATGTAGAAAATAACAGGGAAGAAGAATTGTCTAATGAAGGATTAGAACCCCTGATATGAATACATGGCATCTGAGTGAGGTTTTGTAAAGGGTAAGTAAGATTTTTCAGATTGTAAAGAGGCAGAGTATTTTAATCAGGTAAAAGTATATGTACCAAAAAAGGCACAGAAGCAGATAAACGTGACATATTGGAGAGCAGCAATAATCTAAATGAATGATAGTTTTATTAAGTAAAAGTAATGAAAAATGAGGCTACATATGTAATGTTAGAAGCCAGATGATGGCAGGGATTCAAATAAAGGAATAAATTTTTTTGTATAAAAATACCATGACTAGAAATTGATGACATCATTAATTCTATTTGATTATTTTTTACATAAGCCCCAAATAGCTAATATTTGAGTATAAGTCACATCTTTAAAGTTTAGAATTCATAATATGTAATTACACATACATCCGTGCATCCTTTTTTGCCTTTTGATTTGCTTAAATTGTATAGAAACACCTTTTTCTGTTTTCCATTATTAAGGAAAATAAGATTCCAGCTTCTTAATTTACAAATGATGTCAGAAAATTAAATACCATTAACAGGATTCTTGCACAGGAAAAGTTATTCTGCTTTTTACAAATATGAACTTTAAAAGATTTTCCAGAACACTCACTACATTAACGCTTAAAATAGTAGTATTTTATCATTTGGAGCATTGTTGAGAAGAATATTTTTGTATAGATCTACGTCTCTTTTGGACACTGATTTCTCTCTGCGGTGAAAATGTTTCTCTGCCTTCTGTAGCTGTTTGTGAACATGTTTTATGCTTTAAACCAGATAATTAAGCCAGTGATTTTGACACTATATGGTTTTCTTTGTTGCTTCTTTACTGCTGATTCTAATACAAAGTCATGAACTTTGGGGATGGTCAGCAGGCTCAGTAAGTATGGATTAGGTGATGGGATAATATGGAAATGTGCAGAAAAGCTGCACTATTCAGTTAAGTCATCGTATCTCTCCTGTTACCAGTTTACCACTCCACATTTTCACACAGCACTAGATGATTTCATCTACAAGTAAACTGTGCCATTCTTAGCCATATAGTAAAATAATTTTAATCCTGACTCATAATCAAACTCCCTTCCATAAATATCTAATTGGGCATATCTTCTGAACCAGTATTTTCAAGTTATAACTGAATGCTAATTTTTGACCAGGAAGAAATATACCAAATGTCATCATCTCCTCTTATTCATGTTGATTCTGTTTGCTTCCTCTGCTGCTTCCAATAATGGAGATTGTGATTTCATTTGTGAAATAATCCGTTTCTCATTAATCATGTGTTAATATATATTGATTACCAACTTGGCAATGCTCTATCTAATGAGGCGATGATGAGGAGAAATAAATATAAGAGAAATTTCCTCCTAGAGTTTATATACTATGGAGAGCTTAACATTCCCTTTCCTTGGCTTTTTTCAAAGAAATCCCACCTGAAACAATTGCTTACCTTTGAAATGTTTTATTTCATTTCATTGGGAGACACATGCTTCGGATCATTATTTATCAAATATATTTTATCCTTTATACATATAAACACATAGTGCCAAGTTAAGTTTTATTTCTGATACTACTGTTGAGTCACATAGGGTTAATTTAGTGAGAGGAATAGTTCCAAAATACCAAGTAAACATTAATTAGTCTCTACCCTAAGTCAATAATTACCTTTTTAAAAAAAAGTTCTAAGCAGAAAGTTTTTTTCCTTTTTACTTAAAAATAAAAAACATCTTCAAAAAATCACTTACATGAATCACTTTTCAAATGTAAAATCTTAATGTTTCTCGTAAAATGCCAAGTAAGGATGCTGACATGTATAAAATTCAAAAGTTATTTGGGATTTGATGCTCAGAAGGTAATTGCATGCCATATGTGTTGAACTCTAAATTGGGCTGGGCACATCTGTATAGATTCACAGAAGAGAATTAAAGTCTTGAAGGTAAACTCATCATCCTCTATCAATAACCAGAAATACACCTTTGAATCTGATATTCCCTGACATTCTCGTGCATGAATGTGTTGAAGTCAGATAAATCTTTAGGTTATTTATTTTAAACTATTGGATTCTAGAGTACTGCTTCACATTTCAATTTTTTAACCTTAGTTCTTTTTTATCAGAAGGTTATTTTCTTAGAAAAGTAGATCAAGCATTGTCCTATGAAATTTTTCTTAGATGTTTAATGTTAAGTGCATGTTTTTAAACTAATAAAGCTATTATTAATAAGAATATAGCAGAAGACGTTATTCCCATTAAAAGGAATAAGTTTAGGGAAGGTCTGATTTTGTTGGAATTGGAAACTAACAAGGTATTTCATACCTGTAAATGTGTTATGTAGGGCATGCCTATAAGAGCTATTATTTCAGTTTGGTAAGATTTATAATAATTTTTATTTGGTGGTGGAGAATATTAAAGTGTGTGACTCCATTTTTATTATTGCCAATGGCTTTCAAACCCCAATACTTTCCCTTCCTTCCTGCCCCTTATCCAGAGAACTGAGAAGAAAACTCAGGCTCACTCCTTTTGTGCTGGTAGGGAATTCAAACCACGTGACATTCCTTAACACTAATGTTTCTTGGTGTATTCACTGTCTTATTTCATTATGTAATGTTTACTTAATTTTGATCACAGTATTTTGTGAGATTTTTAGAAAAGTAGCTTTTTAGATGAACTTTAAGCAATGAACACAGAATGTTATCCCTCTTCAACCTTGCAGCCTTAGCCTGGCAATAAATTTTAGGTAGCTCTCTTGAGACAGAAACCAAAGTCCCTTTGTGACCCATGTAATCTGAAGGCCTCCTGCCCTGGCCAGGACCTGAAGGCCTTCTGCAAGCCCCACATGCCCTGCATGCTCTAAAGTCTTCCTCCCTCCGCCAGCACCCAGATTCTACTGTACACTCATGCCCCCAGCTGTTAATCACCTACTCTTCGATTTGCATTGTTCAGAGTGGGCTGTTACTTATACAACTCATGACCAGCTCTGATCTGATCAAATAAGAGAAAAATTCTGCTATCGGATACACTATCCAATAAGCTAAGAGCCACTTCTATATTTGGTCTTTTTTGATTATTTTCTCAGAACTCTGGACTATTACAGTTTCTTTATATCTTGTAGTTACTATTTTATCACAGTTAATAACACATACTAAAATTATTCTGCTTAACCGACCAGGTAGCTTCTATCTCCCAATTAGATAAGACAACTACACCCTACTCATGATAACTTATTCAGGTCTTTTCTGTCTACATTACATAATGGAATCTATACTTCATGTTGACAATAAAAATCCAGGGTTTCACCTAGTACAAGACAAGACTTCTAAATAAAGAGAATTCAAAGTTCCAAAAATGAGCAGTATAAATCCTTTAAGTTGGTCCTTGAGACTGATAGTAAGTTAGGCCACTCTTCCTTACACTGCTTAGGTTCTCAGTACCACATATGCTACTTTTGTGTGTATAACAGCATAGTATTGTCAATGATGTAAAATGGGTGCTGTGTTCTAAATGATGGGGACCCATTCATGAGGCTAAAACCTCTGAGTTGGCACATCCACCGTTTCTTCTATAGGCCACGTCATTATCCTGAGGCTGGCAGCTCAGTGATGTTGTGTAACTTAAAACAGTAAAATCCATGAGCGTGCATCCACTACTCTATCTCCTTTATTGTAAGGTAGTTCCCTTAAACCAATGCAGTATTTTGAAATATTGAATATACAGAATTCCATGTTAATGGATTACACGTTAGCCCTCAGATAACAGTATTGACTGTGGGTCTGTGGGTATAAAAAGCAAACACATACCTTAAGCATGTGTCTGTTTCAATTAAGGTAAAATGAATATTTGCTTCTTTGGTGGTGTCAAATATAGTCAACTTGTCAGATATAGTCATCAAGTGGCTGGCTGGTCTCCTTAAAGGGTGATGCCATATTGGAGACTCAGCTTGGTCTCTGTTACTAGCAAGTTTGGTGTTTCTCAGTGTATCATTTTTTAGGAATGGTGCCTTATGCGTTAGCTACACACTGTGCAGATACTATGGTAGCTACTGGCAGAGGCTGGCTGCTGATAACCAAGTCATTTTCTTTACTTGATTGTTTAGGTGCCTCTTCTGTGGTGGATGATCTGGGCATCTAGGGTAGCTACTCATGCAGTTTATTGCTGCCTTCTGACTCCACTCATGTCTGATCCTAGATGTATCTTTTCCGTCTCATGATGGTTTTCGGATGGATCTTCATATTAGTTTGGTTTGATGGTCTTCCCAAAACTCACGATGAACAATTTTGACTACGTGGTTCCTTGTGGTTTCATCTTGAGGTGGTCTGTTACTGTCACACCCTGATAGCACACCAGGAGTTACTCTTAGAAAAAAAAATATATAATTATGCAATAAAAATTGCAGGATTTTACTTCAGAGTCCCAAGAGTCCACAGTTTTTTTTTTTTTCCCATATGACATGGTCATGAATTCCAGATAGCATCTTCCCTTACCACAGATAATTGAAATACTAGTATCTTATGATGCAAGTGTCAAAGCTTCCACCTGCTGAGGAATCCTGCCCTGCTTTAGGTCCCACTCACAGATGTCAGCTTTTTGATCGTGTTGTAGGAATATCATCAGCTGTGAGATATTTTGCCTTCAGAAGCTGTTATTTCCATTATATTACAGTGCCTCTGCATTTATAGTTTTATCTCAATGCCAAATTCCTAATAAACAAATGCTTTAATTTTTCAACTATTTTCTTTTATCCTTTACTTACATATTTATATCTTACCTAATATAAATTCGCTACCAATGTTCATTGTGAACTATGGCATGCTTATGAAAGAGTATATTTGAAGTATGTACAGTTTAAATAGAAATAAATTGACAGCCTAAGTGCTATTTTCTAGTCATATCCCTCTCCCTACCTGACATAGGCAAGAACAACTACGTGACACTTTGGTCAGTCATGCCTTTGATTTCTTTATAATTGATCCCCTATACAATTATTGCAAAAACAGTGAATTTCTTTGATTTGATTGTTTTTAAGTTTCATGTAAATGAAGCGATGAAGCGATTTTTAAGATGATGCTAGCTGCTATACCAAGCAAATCGTAACATACCTAATGAATGGAAGCTATAACATTAATTCCCTACTCGCAAACTGCAAGTGTTTCTGACTGGTGACGACTCCCCTCCAAGCAACTATATGTGAAACCCAGAAACGTTCCATTTTATGATTCTGCTATCTTCAAAATATATTTTCACTGTCAGTATATTTGTTCACATCAGGTGAAGTAAAGGGAAGACCAGGGAGGATCAAAAGTGACAGGTTTTTAAGCGCTAACCCTGAAAGCAGTGCATATTAATTTACTTGAGTTGCATTTGCTACAACCCATTTACACATTTACTCATTTAAGGAAATCTGAAAAACACAAGGGGAAGAGAAGGGGCATGAGGCATGAAATGTGTCAGCAAGCCAACACCAAGAAATTAAGTCGGATTCATTATTACTGTTCTCTCCTAATGCTGACTGAGGACTAAAGTAAGACATAGTTTATTTAATTAAATTTAAGCTTATTTAAATAAGCAAATTTATTGCTCTGTAAAGCCTGCAACCTGAAGCCAATAAGGAAGATGGAAGTTCTGTTGAATGGCTTGTTCAAGAGCCCAGCATGGCATGTTTTGATAAGTGAAACGAGTGACATAGCCGCTATTAATAATGTTTGAACCAATAAAGTGTATAAGGGGTGTCCTGGTGATGGCTTGTATTGTGTTCTTAGTATACGCAAAATCATGTTACCTTGATTTATTATTTGAGAATCTACGAGGCAAGAAATGTCTAAAATTCTTTACTCTTTTACTCTGTAACAATGTACAAGTGAAACTGATTTGTAAATTGGCCAGGATGTCCAGTACTATGATTTCTGTCTGAATTTGGCCAGTGGTGCTGAGCCTTGGGTGCTGTCCTTATTCAGGGACATCCCTGTTAAGAAATGAAAAGCAATAGCTATCCAGCAAGCCCCATCACGATCGCAGTTCCATTATTAAAGTATGCAAAATTCTATTGCTGTACAGGCAGTTAATCCCAGTTACCTCAGTAGCTAAATAATCTGGGAAAGAGATGTCCTTTTCTAGAACCGTGGCATCTAACAAGAGACTCAGGACAGGGGAGGCCGCCCCTTCTTATAGGTGAAAAATGCCAGAAGGCTCAGGATTAGGTACAACTGGTGGTAAGGAGGCCTCAGGAGCCGTGCTGAGTTTGTAGAGCTTGTAGGGTGCTGTTTCCATGAATCAAAACATCATAGGTAACTCAGCATGAAGGGCCATGGTCTCAAACTTGTCATATCCTCTTATGCCAGGAGAGAGCTCAGCATGTGGCCAGCGATTGCCACTCTACTGCTGTATAATGCAGGATCGATGAAGGTAGTTACTTGAATAAGAAATGTATGAAGAACTTATGGCCATAAATGTGTATTTACAATCCGTAACAGCAGGTGCTATCCCTCTGTGGCAAAAAGTCTCTCGGGGTCACTAGAGGGATGGTCTGTTACATCACAATTGAGGTAGATTCTAGAGTCCTTTGTTGGAAAGAGCCCATTCAAGCTTCAAGCTGGGACAGTTTGCATGAGGAAACTGTCCTTGGGACAGTGTAAATGAGGAAGATGTTGCCTCCAGAACCCCAAAAAACTTAAACATTCAGGGGCCTGTTTTACCATTGTGGGTGCTGAGAGGATCAATAACTGCTTCCTGACACTGTCAGCATGGAGGCACCCTCAGTTTACCAAACAACTTTCAGAAATTTAACGTAGGCAGAGGTCTTGCACTATGTGTGGGACGTGGCCGATCCCCATTTTACATACTTCTTTATAAGTATGTATGTGACCTGAATGAAAATGCCAAATGAACGTTTCTAGGGGAGGATGTCTTCAGTGTAATGTCACACCTGTGCTCCCAGGGAGAACTGCATGCAGTTCTTACTTGAAAAGACTGTGAGTTGGGCAAGGTTGTTCAAGGACCTCAGAAGTAAATGTGTGCTGTGTCCCTTCAGAGGTGAAAGCACTCTGCTGCTGAGAGGCTGTTGGTGCACTGAACACAGAATATTAGCCAAACCAATAATAGCAAAACATCTCACAGGTGGATTGAGTTAGTAATTTTCACAATATTGGATATGAGGGCCTTAGTAGATAGAAGACTAGTATTAGGATTTCAGTAACCCACCATGAAGTATCATTGATTATTTCCAAGATTAAGAATAGGCCAATTGGATGGTTAAATAGAGGAGTGTGGGGAACAATTCCTCCCCCTTTATCTGGGCTTTATATAATACAATTCAATTCTTAAAAGCCCTGTTTTAATTTACAGTGGGCATATTAGCTTTTTTAATTTAGGGAATGATCCTTGGATCCCATTTTGTCATCCCAGTTTATAAGATCCAAAGACTTAATGTATTTTCGCTTTATTACTCATTGGATCCGAGTGTTCATATCCACTGTGGGATATTTAAGGGCAGTGGGTGAGATGACCATGGGGAACGCAGGCAAGGGAGTAGTTCAGGTAAGGCATAGCTATTTGTCCTCTATTTTATATGCTGCAACTCCCCTAAGATTAATAGGCATTACGTTGTTTAAGTTTATGGAGTCCCTAGGTATAACTTATTTTAGGCCCAGTGTATTGATTAAGTCCATGAAGGTTTGCAAGCTGATGCACTTCAGCAGATTTTGACATTAAATCTACCACCTACATTGTAAGAGAGAAAAAGCCAGCAACCAGCAGTAACCTTTTATCCTTGTGTTATATAAATTCTTTTAAGATTTATTTTATTGCTGATTGACACATAATAATTATACATATTTATTGGGTCTAATATGTGTAATAATTAGAGTAATTCACATACCCATTACATATTTATTTAACATTTATGATCTCTTTGTGATGAGAACATTCAGAAGCCTCTCTTCTATTTTGAAACATGCAATACATTATTGATAAATGTATTCACTCTATTGTGGAATAAAAAGCCAGAAGTTATTTCTCCTATCTAACTGTAGATTGTACCCCCCCGTTGACCAACCTCTCCTTATCCCTGCTATCCCGTATCCAGCCTCTGGTAACCATTATTCTACTCTCAACTTCTGCGAGATCACCTTTTTAGATTCCATATATGAGGTAGTGATATGGTTTGGTTGTGTCCCCAACGAAATCTCATCTTGAATTGTAACTTCCACAATTCCCAGATGTCATGGGAGGAACCCAGTGGGAGGTGATTGGATTATGGAGGTGAGTCTTTTCTGTGCAGTTCTGTTGATAGCAAATGAGTCTGATGAGATCTGGTGGTTTTAAAATGGAAGTTTCTCTGCAGGAGCTCCCTCTTTGCCTGCTGCCATTGACGTAAGGTGTGAGTTGCTCCTCCTTGCCTTTTGCCATGATTGTGAGGCCTCCTCAGCCACATGAAACTATGAGTTCAATTAAACCTCTTTCTTCTGTAAATTGCCCAGTCTTGGGTATGACTTTATCAGCATGAAAGCAGACTAATACAGGGAGATCATGTAGTGTTAGTCTTTCTGTGCCTGGCTAATTTCACTAATTTAAATTCCAACCAACAATGTAGCAGGGATGCCTTTTCTCCACATCCTCACAAACACTTGTTATCTTTTGTCATTTTTGACAATAGACATTTTAACTGGAGTGAGAGAGTTTCTCACTGTGGGTTTGATTTGCACTTCACTGGTAACTAGTGCTGCTCTTCAGCATTTTCTCATATGCCTTTTGGCCATTTGTAATGTCACTTTTTGAGAAATGTCTCCTTAAGCCTTTTGCCCATTTTTAAATCAGGTTATTTGTTTTTGTTAGTGAATTGAACTCCTCATATATTTTTGATATGAACTCCTTATCTGATGTATAGCTTGTAAATATTAATATAGTCTCTCATATGTTACTTTTTCACTCTTAATTATTTCCTTTGATGTGCAAAAGATTTTAAGTTTGATGCCATCCCATTTGTCTATTTTTGCTTTTGTTTCCTATGCTTTAGAGGTGTCATTGAAAAAGTAATCCTTGCCCAGACCAAGGTCATGAAGTTTTTCCCTGAAGTTTTCTAGTAGCTTTGTAGTTTCAGCCTTATATTTAGATCTTTGATTGATTTAGAGTTGATTTTTTATATGACAAAATATACATATCTAATTTCATTCTTCTGCAAGTGAATATTCAGTTTTTCCAACACCATTTATTGAAAAGATTGGCTTTCACTAATGTGTGTTTTTGGCACTGTTGTTGAAAATCAGTGAGCTGTAAGTGCATGGATTTATTTATGGATGTTTTATCGTGTTCGATTTGTCTGTGTGCTTTTTTATGCCAGTACCATGCTGATTTGGTTACTTACAGTTTTGTAGGATATTTTAAGGTCAGGTAGTGTGACATCTCCACCTTTGTTCTCTTTGCTCAAGATTGCTGGTTCCTTGAGGTATTTTGTGTTTCCATACCAATTTTAGAATTTTCTTTGTATTTCCATGATAAATGTATTTGATATTTTGATAGGGATTGCATTAAATTTGTAGATTGCTTTGGATAGTATATACATTTTAGCAATATTAATTCTGCCAATTCATGAACACAGGATATCTTTACCTTTATTTGTGTCTTCAGTTTCTTTTATCAATGTTTTCTAGTTTTTATTGCAGAGATCTTTCCCCTCCTTGGTTAAATTAATTTAAGTACTGCATTTTTGTATCTATCTTAAATTGAATTGTTTTCTTGATTTTTTTCAGATAGTTTGCTATTAGCATATAGAAATGCTACAGATTCTTCTGTTTTTTTCTGTCCTGCAACCTTACTGAATTTGTTTATTAGTTCTAACAGTGCTCTTTTGTGGTCTTTAGGGTTTCCTATATATAAAATCATGTCATTTGCAAATGGGAACAGTTTAATTACTTTTTAAAAATTTGAATGCCTTCTATTTCTTTCTGTTGCTTATTTGCTCTGGCTAGAACTTCCAGGAGCAGGTTGAATAGAAATAGTGAAAATGGGCATCCTTATCTTGTTCCAGATCTTAAAGGAAAAGCTTTCAACTTTTACTTATTCAGTATGATGTTAGCTGTTGGGTTGTCACACATGGAGTTTATTGTGTTGACATATATTTCTTCTATACCCAATTTTTGGGAGGTTTTCAATCAGCAAGGGATGTTGGATTTTGTCAAATTCTTTTTCTGCATCTATTGAGATGATCACACCTTTTTTGTTCTTCATTCTGTTAATGTGATGCATCAATTTATTAATTTGCATATGTCAAAACATCCTTATGACTCTGTGATGAATACCACTTGGTCATGGTGAATTATCTTTTGATGTACTATTGAGTTAGGTTTGCTAAGATTTTGTTGAAAATTTTTGCATCTGTGTTTGCTAGGGATATTGAACTGTAGTTTCTTTGTTTTTGTTGTGTCATTGTCTGGCTTTTGTATCAGGGTAATAGTGGCCTTGTAGAAAGAGTTTAGAAGTATTCCCTTCTACGCTGACTTTGGAATACTTTGATCAGGGTTTGTATTAGTTTTTCTTTAAGTGTTTGGTAGAATTTAGAGATGAACACAGTAGGGCTTGGGATTTTCTTTGATAGAACACTGTTTTATTTATTCATTTATTATTTGTTTATTTATTACCACTGCTTCAATCTCCTTACTTGTTATTGGTGTGTTCAGATTTTCTATTTCCTCATAGTCAATCTTGGTAAGTTGTATGTGTCCAAAAATGTATCCATTTCTTCTAGGTTATCTAATTTGTTCACGTATAATTGTTCAGAATAGTTTCGTACGAATCTCTGTATTTCTTTGGTACTAGTTTTATATATCTGATTTTACATATTTGATTTTACTCTTTTTTTCTTAGTCTGGGAAAAGATTTGTATTTAAAAAAATATTTAGTTGATTTTGACTTTTTCTAGTCTCTATTTTGTTTATTTCTGCTAGGAGCTTTACTGTTTCCTTCCTTTAACCAATTTTGTGTTTAGTTTGTCTTGTTTCTTATTAATTTCCTGAGATGCAACAATAGGTTATTTATTTGAAATCTTTCTTTTTGACATAAACATTTACTGCTATAACTTCTCTCTTAGAGTTTACTTTTGATGTATTCCATAGGGTTTGGTATGCTATGCTCCCCTTTTCATTTATTTCAAGAAATAATTAATTTTCCCCTTAACTTCCTTATTAACCCATTTCGTCATTAAGAAAAATGCTGTTTAGTTTCTAGGTATTTGTGAAGTTTCCTAATTTCATCCTGTTATAGATTTCTAATTTATTTTTAGATTTATATCAATGTGGTCAGAAAAGATGCTTGAAATTAGTTCAATCTTCTTAAATCTTTTAAAACCTGTTTTGTGGCCTACTATATAATCTATCCTGGAGAATGTTCCTTATGATACTTAGAAGAACGTGTAATAAGCAGTTCTTTGGTGGAATATTCTGTAACTGTCTGTTAGGTTTACTTAGTCTAAAGTACAATTTAAATCCCATGATTTTTATTTTTTATTATTTTCTGTCTCAACTGTTTATTGCTGAAAGTGGAATGTTGAAGTCTCCTACTATTATTTCATTGTAGCCTAAGTCTATCTCTCCTTCATATTTACGGATATTTGCTTTATATAGTTGATCATATATCAGATGCTCTTTGGGTGCATATATATTTACAACATGCTCTTAATGATATTGGAAATCCTCTTGCAGATTTTATTCCTTTCTTATTATATAATGACCTTCTTTGTCTTTTTTAATTACAACTTTTGCATTAACATCTATTTGATTTGATATAAGTATAGCTACTCTTGCTCTTTAGGTTTTGGTTTGTATTAAATATATTTTTTGATCCTTTACTTTCATCCTGTGTGTGTTTGTGTGTCCATACAGGTGAAATGAATCTCTGGTAGACAGGATATAATTTTTATTTATCATTCATTTAGCCACTCCATATCTTTTTTTTTTTCTTTTTTTTTTTTTTTTGAGACAGAGTCTCATTCTGTCACTCAGACTGGAGTGTGGTGATGTGATCTCAGGTCACTGTAAACTCCACCTACTGGGTGCTAGTGATTCTCCTGCCTCAGCCTCCTTAGTAGCTAGGATTACAGGTGCCTGCCATCATGCCTGGCTAATTTTTGTATTTTTATTAGATACAGAGTTTCATCCTTTTGGCCAGGCTGTTTTCAATCTCCTGACCTCAAGTGATCCACCCACCTTGGCCTCCCAAAGTGCTGGAATTATAGGTTTGCTCTGCTTGTATATTTACTTTTACTAGTGAGTTTTATTCCTTCAAGTGTTTTCATATTACTCATTAGCATCATTTTCTTTCAGCTTAAAGAACTCCTTTTAGCATTTCTTATAAGGAGGTCCTAGTGGGGTAACACATTCCCTCAGTTTTTTGTTTTTCTGAGGAAGTATCTCTTTTTATTTCTAAAGAGCTGTTCCTCTTAGCATAGTATTCTTGGTTGGTGTTTTTTCCCCCCACTTTTAGCACTTTAAATATGTTATCCACTCTTTCCTGCCCTATATGCTTTCTGCTGAGAAGGCTAGTATTAGAAATATTGGAAGTCTGTTATTAGTTATTTTCTTCCTTTCTTGTGTTGCCTTTAGGATCCTCCATTCTCTTTAACAATTTGATTATAACATGCCTTAGGGTAGTGTTTTGGATTGAATCTGATTGGTGGCTGCTGACCTTCCTGTACCTGAATTTCTATTTCTTTCCCATTCTGTAACAATTTCTTCTATTAAAAAAAACAAAAAGAAAATAAATGAATTTCTGCTCCTTGGCTACTCCTTTTTCTTTCTCTATCCCTCTTGAACTCCATTAACACATTCATTTGCTCTTTTGACATTATCTTATTAATCCCATAAGCTTTGCCATTTCCCTTTGTTTTGTTTTTCTCTCTCTTAAGGTATAATTCCAAATAACCTCTCTTGAGTTCACAGATAATTTCCTCCGCTTAATTCTGCTGTTGTTCCCAATTGCGTTTCTTTATTTCATTCATTGTATTTTTCAGTTCTAGGATTGCTATTTTTTATATCATTTCAACCTTTCTGATTAATTTATCTGATAAACTTCAGTTGTTTCTTTGTGTT